ATTATAGAGTCAACATGCCTGAGACATACATATAGGACAGATAGCACGAAGAACACGAGGGTGAGATGGGGGGCAGTTCGAAGGAGGAGCATGTCTACGAAAATTTGCATTCTCGTTACAGAAAATTTTCCTCGGATGTTTTACAATTTTTGCAATCATTGTCCTCTAGTGCGTGTTGCCAACGATCATAATAACTTGCATACTTAACCGCGTACCGCGAACCCTTTTCAGACGATCAGATGACATCGTTATAGATCATTCTTAAACACATGCTCGTTAAGATAATTCGATAAATGGCTGTAGTCGTTTTGATCAGTCACAGGTGCAATATATTACACACGTTGTATTGACATCAAATGAAAAGGCAAATGTACATCGAATCGTTAATCTCGTATAAATTGTTCTCTGGGGTTTCGTTCGAACGTGCTACAGTCGCTAAAGGGTTCGACCGTTTTAAATGTTCGCGCACCGATTGTTGAAGCAGCGACGAAACAAATTCACGAGATATTATATTCGTTTTAAAAAAGAAAAGAACAAAAAAAAAAGGTATTGAAATAATAACTCAGCTGTTTCTACCTGAGAAAGGAAAGTAAACGCAAGACCTGTACCGTGGGAGCAGTGTTGTGTATTGTCTAAACGCCGAGATTGGCCGTGACCATTAATTTTAAATATATCTATTAAAAGTAGATGTCTTTTGTATTGAAGTTTTTGCAATTCATTTTTTTTTTTCAGGTAACTAACGCATATCTTGAGGTAAGTAATTAGTTCTCTTGCGTTAGCTACAATTTAATTACAGTACTAAATTAGTACAAAATACTAAATTAGGTACAAAAAAACAGGATATGCCTCTGTTCTCAAGGGATAATGATTTAGGGGTCCCAGACACCCCAGCTGAGATTAATTGTATATGTACATACAAAGCACAGTCGGAATGACAGTCGTGCCTATTTTACGTCCCTCTTACTACACCACGCACTTGCAACTAAAAACAGAAATTCGACTCCCTTTAATTCTATTTCTTTAGAAATTAGTGAAATCAGCAAAAGACCGCACAATTATTAAAATAATTGTTTGATTCCTGTATTCATTTCATGCGTCTTGGTGAATAAATCATTTTAGAAAAGCACGTGAGTTATTATTTAATTTTCCCAATTTGCTTTCCTGTAAATGCAGGTGGTATGGAAGATTGAACCCTATATACTACCCGCTTCGCGCCAAAGTGCATCAGTCTGTCTTCGGACGGTGAAGAGCAGGTTGAGTCTATTTACTACTATTTACTATCGCACCGCCATCTATACAAAAATAGCTCAAACTATTCAACAATTTACCGATCGGTTTTCCGAACTAGGCTATATTAGCACCATTTATCGGAGAAGGGCATACCGATATAATACCATATAATACTAACATTTTTGAAAATTTATTCTTCCTGTTCTCTAGTAGCTAAAATTTAAATTTAATTTTCCCCCAAAAATAATGCTGTCTGGGGGGTAAACATCGGAACTAAATTCCATTTGTTAATTATATATTTAATTTTGTTAGCCGGACATACAGGATACACATATATATGTAGAAGGTGCAGGAGCATAGAGGGTAAAGTGATATAAAGGGTGCCTGGACATAGAGGGTGCAAGGATAAAAAGGGTACAGGGATTTAGGCTACAGGAATATAAAGGGATCTACATGAAGCTAGCCGGAAGGAATAATAAAATATGATTATAAATCGTTTGTGATTTACAAATATATCATTTTCATTGGTTGTGAGTGAATATTTACAAGTTTGTTTTATAATAAATAATTGTAGTACGCATGCGCTACAGATCCGGTCGTACCCATCACTATTCCGAACAAGTGAGTTTCACGATTTGTTCGTTTTCCGTTCTTATATTTCACTAGATCCGCTCAAACCCATCACTATTCCGAACAAGCGAGCTTCACGATTTGTTCGTTTTCCGTTCTTATATTTCGCTAGATCCGTTCAAACCCATCACTATACCGAACAAGTGAGTTTCACGATTTGTTCGTTTTCCGTTCTTATATTTCGCTAGTTGCTTCGGGGTCCTTGACACCCCGGTGGCATAATATCGGTATGCAGCTTCGCGGATACCTCGGGGTCTCAGATACCCCGAATGCCATCGCTTCGGTAAGCAAAGAGTGTCATCGGTGCTTCGGGGTCCCTGACACCCCGGATACCAAAATGTCGGTGTGCTAACAGTGTCACCGGTGCTTTGGGGTTCCTGACACCCCAAGATAACATCATGTCGGCATGCAGAGATAGTCATTGGTGCTTCGGGGTCCCTGGCACCCCGGGTGTCAAAATGTCGCTGTGCAAACAGTGTCATTGGTGCTTCGGGGTCCCTGGCACCCCGGATGCTATATTATTGGTATGCAAAGATAGTCACCCGCGTTTCGGGGTCCTTAACACCCCAATATGATATCAGGTCGGTACACATAGGACGTCATTGGCGCAGTGGGGTCCCTAACACCCCTGTATAATATCAGGTGCGTAAGAAGAGGGCACAACCAGTATAATTTTTTTCCATAGTTTATTGAATTTACTTTATGTATTTTTTTTTGCTCATTAAATAAACTCATCGAAGGGGAATAACATTTATGGTTATATCCTTCTTCTGGGTCTCATCCGAGGACCCCATTTATTTTACTTTTTTCAGTTATTTATATAATTTTATCCCTCATTATAGGCCAAGGCCATCTCAGTATCCCTTACATCCCTACATTCTTTTCATCTTGCATCTCTTCATCCCTTAAATCCCTACATTATTCCCTACATTATTATCATCTTTACATTCCTTTCATCCCTACATTCCTTTCATCTCTTCATCCCTTACATCCCTACATTATTATCATCTCTACATTCCTTTCATCCCTACATTCCTTCCATCTCTTCATCCCTTAAGTCCCTACATTATTATCATCCCTTCATTCCTCTCATCCCTACATTATTATCATCCGTACATTATTATCATCCGTACATTCCTCTCATCCGTACATTCCTTTCATCCCTACATTCCTTTCATCCCTATATTCCTTTCATCCCTACATTCCTTACATCTCTGCACTCCTTATAATGAATATATTACAAAGACTGCTTCGAGTAAAGGTAAGTAAAGGTAAGTTAGTTCCTCGTTTCGAAAATTTCGCGAAAATTTCGAAAAAACAGCGCCCCCTAGCGGCAAAAATGTGAACTAAATTTTCGATGTCGAATCAGCGCCATCTGATTTCAGAAAAAGGAACTAAAGCTTGCTGAAATTTTGGCCCTCTAGCGGCAAAAATGTGAACTAAATTTTCGATGTCGAATCAGCGCCATCTGGTTTCAGAAAAAGGAACTAAAGCTTGCCGAGATTTTGGCCCTCTAGCGGCAAAAATGCGAACTAAATTTTCGATGTCGAATCAGCGCCATCTGGTTTCAGAAAAAGGAACTAAAGCTTGCCGAAATTTGGGCCCTCTAGCGGCAAAAATGTGAACTAAATTTTCGATGTCGAATCAGCGCCATCTGGTTTCAGAAAAAGGAACTAAAGCTTGCCGAGATTTTGGCCCTCTAGCGGCAAAAATGCGAACTAAATTTTCGATGTCGAATCAGCGCCCTCTGGTGGCGAAAAAAGGAACTAAATTTGTATTAAATCGCTGGCCTTATACCGCAAAAATTTCAGGGAGATACTGGGATGTATGGAATGCAGGAATATAAGTGATACAAGGATGTAAAGGATACAGGCATGTAAGGGATGCAGGGATGTAAGGGATGTTGGGATATAAAGAAGGCAGGAATGTGAGGAATGCAGAGATGTAAGGGATGTAGACATGTAAGGGAAGCAGAGATGTAAGGGATGAAGAGATGTAAGGAATGTAGGGATGGGAAGAATGCAGATATGTAAGGGGTGAAGAGATGTTAGGAATTTAGGGATGAAACGAATGCAGAGATGTAAGGGATGAAGAGATGTTAGGAATACTGTGATGTATGCGTTGCTGCGATTATAAGGAATGCGATGATATAAGGGTGCAGCGATATAGACAGTATCGGGATAGAGAGGGTACGGGGACAAAAGAATACAAGGGATGGGCTTGCGAGGGCCACAAGGGGCAATAAAACAATGAATACCTGAAATGTGTCTTGGCTAATAAGGAGCAATCTTATATATATAAAGCGCAAAGACCTCCGTCAGTGTCACACCGTCGCGTTTGTGCAGCTAAGTGGTCGGGGTCAAAAGTTACATAGGTTTCAATTTTTCTATAGAAAGTCTATGGGTCCCACATTTTAGCTTCGGGGTCCCTGACACCCCAAGATGATATCAGGACGGCAGGCAGAGAGGGCCACCGATGCAACCGGGGTCCCTGACACCCCGGATGCCATAATGTCGATATACAGAGTATCGCCCTTGCATCCGGGGTCCCTGACACCCCGATTCCATATTGTCGATATACAAAAAGTATCACCCGTGCATCCGGGGTCCCTAACACCCCAGCCATCGGCCGCTATCTATATAAAATCGACGCAAACTATTTGTTAACTTACCGACTGCCGAAGGGTCGATTACCGACTTTCGGAAGTTCAGTCGATAAGTCGGTAATTTGTTGAGTAGTTTCCGCCGCTTTTGTATAGATGGCGCAGTGGTCGAACTTTAAAAATACTTCATTCTAGGCGGTCTTCTCAAAATATAAGTTTGTCAAATAATTATTCTAATAATTTTTCGGTCTTGTAAAATAATAAATAATAGAGATGATGAACCGAGGCCCTCAAGAGGGATGAAATCAAGATAGATCTACTCACCTCGGCAGTCGTGATGGTACTGACTAGTTTTCACCTCGCTCAGCAGTCGGTAGAACTCCGGCGTTATTTATTTTGAAAATAACAAACTACTTGTCTTCTGATTTATCGAGTTGGCGACAATTAGTTTCTTAGAGTTGATAAAAATTAAAATATATAGAATAGGGATAATTTAAAGGGATGATGAGAATAATAACCACAGGTTTACTTCCGGTAATTTTTTTTCGATGTATTTACATTTACATGTATGTGTGTGTACAAGATCGTTAAAAACATTAAATGTTTATGCTCGCGTTACGATAATATATATATTCATGTATTTACATGTGTATTTGTGTGTACAAGATCGTTAAAAACATTAAATGTTTACAGGTCTATTTTATAATTTTGTTTTCGTATTGCCTCGCGCATCGTTAATTTCGCGTTTATGTTCTCATCTGTGTCGGTTTGTCTTTCATTCGCGCATGCTCGCACACACTCATACCTGTCGTATATTATCCTCTCGCGATTAATCATCGTCGTTTTTAAATTATTCTCGCATAACGCCGCAAATTTATGTACAAGTAGAAAAACCTAATAACAATATCGACTATCACACCTTATTTTATACACCATTACAAATGGCTGGTACATACGTACACCATGCGCGTTAAGTAAAAAAATTTGTCGCTAAGACGCCATTGTGTTACCCTTTTACGCGTCATCTCTTCGAGTTGTATGACACAATTCTTGCATAACTTTTTACTAAAATCAGATTCATGCAGAAATACAACATTTCTTAATTAAGAAAAAAGATAACAAATTTTACTAAGAATTTCTGAAAAATTTGTCGCGCATTATGTAGGTAGTTTCAAATATACACATGTATGCAATACACACTTTCTTTCTCTCTCTGGTATGTACAAACTAGAAAATACATAACGCAGCTACTTATAATATGTTTACAAGTAACCGATTTTACAGGAAATGTACAGAGGTGAACAATGATACTTCATACTTACATTTTCTAGGACTTAAGTGTACATGACGCCTGGTTCTATGCTCGTTGGAAGGTGTCTCTCCTGAATCGTATCTTACTTTCACGAATGATAAGAAATATTAAATAAAATACTGTCACGAATTTTAAATTGATTTAACGAAAGACGTATTATTTTCGTGGTTATAACTATATCGTAAATATTACGATTAAAATAAAAACTGATCGTATTTTTATTCATCAACGTTAGATTTTAGAAAAAAAAAACGGACAACCTTCCATCGTGCAAAATATAAAAATTTTTTTGCGTCTTTAGAATGATTATGCTTACTAAGCGCAGACGTAAAATACATTTGGTCGTAAAACTGTACGCTTCGTGCTGGAGCGAGACATTATTGATACATCCTTGTTCTCCTGCAGAAGGTCCTTAATTCTAATAAAAAGCTATTTAACGATTCCGTACAAATTGCGTTCACAGTTTATGGCAACAAAAGTAACCATTTCTCCCCCTCGTTGATTGTTTTGTGAGACGCGAGTCCTTATCGATAGTTACCGCATAATGAAAAAAAAAAAAAAAAAAACAAAAAAAAACGAAGTGACAGAAATTTGGACAATAGGGTCAAGTATACTAGTCACAAAATTAATAAACAAATTACGAAATAATTCTAAATACAATCGTGTCCGCATTCCTCGAGGTCAACCACAAAATTGAATAACGAATAATGGATTTTTCTCTTTGTTAGAAACAAAGTGATCACAGAGAGAACTTTTGTGTCACTTTATCCCTTTCTACAATGTTGTCAGATTCAATTTTCTACTCTTAAATCCATGCCCTCGTATATTTAAGAGTATATCAAAATATAATTTAATTTATGACTAGTTTTGCCTCTCGGTAACTTTATCTGACAGATAAATGATACAAAAACCCTCTTTACTCCTTTAAATAAAAGTCCAGAGTATTGACGTGTCATGACAAGTTGATCTGTCATATGTATTTACCTAGAAAAGCTATAACCAGTATTTATAAATTTTTGTTCTTCGCGTTAAATATCACATATATCCTAGATATATATATATGTATATATATATATCTTCTTTTTCGTTAGAATGTATTTGACACAAATAATGGAATTAATGGAAATAAAGAATCTGTCAACATTGTTAATGTACTGTGCCTGCGAAATATGTGCAAGATCACATGATCGGTATTTGTTTCGCATTCACTCTCGACATATACTATATTTACAAATCGCGCTAAATAGAGATCTATTATATATACTATATTATCTTACTATTCTTAGGGCTAGTTTAGCTTGCTGCACACACGTGACGTGGTCCATGTGACGTTTGAAGACACTGGGTGGTCAGTCGCTGTCAGAACCCACTGGATTAATTTTTTTTCTCTTTTTTGCTTGTTTTAAATTCACGATCTCTTCCTCCTGCAACATATATGGGATTACATTGTTAGATAATATTAAAGACTCTGTAAAAAGTGATATATTCCATATTGCTTTCAAACTCGTATTTACCTCACTGCTAGATGTACTGGTAAGATGATATCGAGGAGGCGGCCTTTTGGAACTAGATCTTTCCCTCGTATTAGCACCAGTTTTTCTATGACCTCCTTTACCAGCACCTCCGCCGGCTCCAGTCGACGCTGCTGCATGTTTTCGTGCTGAACTTGTTGGCGGAGGTGGGGGAGGCTCATTTTCCTCGTTAACTTCCGCCAGAGCGAATAAATCTCCATAACTTTTTCTTAACGAATCGCTACTAGCCGCTTGTGCTTGTTGCAAAGCTCTTTGCATTCCTTCGGAATGATACAGCTGCAATTCAGCAGACGATGTGCAATGTTGTCGTAATTGATCCAAATGCCCAAGGACCTGTTCACCGCTGGGTGGACCAGGTTGTTGGTTGTGTTTACCACCCGATCGTTTTCTTTTATTTGGACTAGTAGCAGGATAACGAGTGCTTAAAAGATTCGCAAGCAATTCTCCAAGTTTTTCTTCGTAATCGCGACACCAATAACGTAACGCTGCTACAACGAACATGTCTCCGTCCACGTTTTGTCGTGCAAGCAATTGTCGTAAAAGTTCTAACGTTGGCCTGTTGAAGATCGTTAACTTTAATAGTAAGTTCTTAATTTCAGTAATTTCTTTAGTTAATGATTCACTTACTTTTCTTGTTTCAGCATAAGCAATATCGATGTTAATGCTTCTGCATGGTCACGGAATTGTAGTTTAGGTAAAACAGGCAGTACATAATCGATTGGAAAGTCGTGGGCAAAAATAAGTTGCCAAAAACAGTATTGTTCAAATGTTTCCCAATTTAAACTTGCTGTTAATAATGACGTAAACGATTCCTTCTTTAACATTTTTAAGTGACCTTGCATTATTTGACAGACTAATTCTTGTAATTGACATGCATCAACGGTCGACACCACCAAATGCAATAACTGAACATTTCCTAAAGTCACATTTTGAAATCCCATGTATATATCAGGCACAAGATAACAAAGCATAAATATGTTATCCTCGTGGCACAGCTATAAAAATGATAATGTGTAAATATACATATGCGATGAAACAATGTTATTACTTTGTTACATTCTTTTTTAATTTAAAAACTTATATACCTTTAAATCAGATACCAAACAGGCATCTAACTTCTTTTCTCGATGTGCACAAAAATCTTTATATACCGACGCCTTAACATCATTTAATACATTGCTGAAACACAAAATATATAAAATGAAAAGTACGAATTTTCTTCTCCTCGGACAATTTATATTTCATTACAAACCTTGGTTCACCTTCTCGCTTTTCTTCTTCCCTGCCCCATACTTTCAAAAAGTAAAGTAAAAGATAACCTATTCTTGATTGGACGTTTTGCATCTCTGCTAATACCCGAGCTAGAAGCTTCCGCCTATTGTCCTCTTCTTTACACAACTGAAACTGATTTCGAAACATAACGAACAACGGTGTGCTTATACTATCAGTCAAGGCTTCTTCATTCAAATTATCTGTTGGAAATATTTGGGAGGTAATTTGTGAGGATAAGATAGTTGATATGCAAGAAGCCAATCCTGGTATAGTTTCCGCGTCTATTTCATCTTCTACCACCATTTGTACTATCCTTTCCATTGTCTGACACCTCACTTCATTGTCTGTTTCACTGTGCAAACTGTCCACAGCAGTCCTTAATTCTGGTTCTAAAATTAAATTTAACTGAGATGTAATGTCTTCTTTTTTCACAACACAGTTTGTATTTTTCTGTTCGTTCTTCAACTTCACATTCGCTAATGGAACATCTTCTTCATCCTCTTCTTCTACTTTAGTCACTATCCTGTAAAATATATGTGCATATTTCATGTATACAGTGATACTCTCAATAAATGTGGCACAATGTAGCATAAAATACATAAACGAAAAGAACCGACCTTAGCGGTATCTCTTCTTCTTCATCACTGAAAGCTGGTTCTGGGTCTTGATTTACGTGATTGTTTTCAACTGGCGCATTTGCTGCATTCTCCAGTATGGCTCCTGGTGTAAGATCCTTATTAAGTTCCTCCATTTTACCTGAATATACAGGAACCTTATTTCCTGCTTAAAAAGATCGTGCAAAAACCAAAGTTAGTAAGCAATGAACGTGCTGTAAGCATGAAAAATGGTGAATAATAAACTCTGTTAGAAAGAAATAGTAAGAGATGAATTTTTAATTACGTTTGGAAACACCTTACTTGTTAAAACCCTTATATGTAAACCCCAAATTAATATGCGATAAGTAGATTTTGCGATTATTTGTTTCAATTTAATATGTACAGAAAGTGTATATTTACTAAGGGTGTGCTAGAACCTGAAAATGTCCTGCCTTCATCATCGGATTTTCGACAATTTCGGATTCTCGCAACACCCTTTAGTAATTTACTTCAGGTGCATTTGTAAACGGTGCTGTACAGGATATTAGACAATACATCAGTTTCAATATCCATTTAATATGTTCTTGTGCAGTAAGCTACTTTCAGTGCACTGTATTAGAATAGTAAATAATAAAATAAACATGCAATATTGTGTAACTTTAGTAACTTTACCGGGATCTGCATTAGGTGGTAAGCAGAATTCCTTAAACGTTTCTCTTATTTTACTCCTTAATTCGCGATCTAACTTCGGACTGTCAAATAGAGGATAAAGACTTGGCAAAACCCTTTTCTCTAAAATCTGTCTTAACGACGAAAAGATTCCATTCCTCACTTTCTCGGTTAAAGGTGGGTAAAAGTTTGGTATAATCTATTAGAAGAGAATACATTATATAATTTTTCTTAATCAGTTATAAACGATCAGCAAAAGCCAGTGTATCTAACTTACCCTACATAAAAAGTCTAGCAATGTGGCAGTGACAGGTGGATGGGATCTCATAGAATTGTGCATTACAAGAATTGCCGGTTCGATATTCATAATATTATCTTTTTCTGGCTCAAAAAATAACCAATCATAAAATAATGCCAACTTAGCGTTACTTGCAGCTACGGTTGATGTGCAAGTGGTGAATAACCAGCCTATTACTGCCCACCGCGGTATAATATCTGAACACAACAACTCATTTGTCGGATGAATAACACCAACGATAAATCGTATAAGATCGCATCGTAATGACTGCGATTCTGGTGTGGCCAGGTACTGCCTTTGAAACCAATCTTGGTATCGTTTGTGATTACCAAAACGAACTTGACTTGTTAAAAATACTAGTTTTCTTTCCATATCTGGAGTAAGTCTCGATTGTAGAAACCTTCTAGAAGTTCTAGTTTGTAAAAGTTGAAGGACTCCGTTAAAATTTGGGCAAAGTGATTTTGGATTTAGAAGCATATCTTTCCAAAGTGCCTCGAACTCCGGTATTCGGGCAACATTTTGCAATAAGCGTACCAAATCCCTAAAAACAAAAATGATGTTTTATTCGTTTCATTTTACTGTAAATACTGAATCAAAGGTTTTAATTTATTTACCTTCCAATAACTAAGCAATCAACCATACGTTCTCTTATCAGAGATACAGTAAAGGTAACTTCTTTCTGACGCAAACCGGATAAATGAGGTGCATTATGATCTTCTATTAATCGCAAATAAGTATAAACAATAGATGCTACTAAAAAAGGAAACTTATCCAACCAAGGCCTATTCTCTTGAAAAATATCTAAAAGTGCATCAACTAAAAATAAATTTCTTGGTGAAATATCTCCACCTGCTGCATGCCTTAATAAACTTAAACAAAGATTATCCACACTAGCTACACTAGTTCTTATCATTTCTCTTAGGAGCCATAATAGCTGACTTCTGGTCACATCATTCAGTCGCAGGTATCTTTCAAGTACTAATTGATTAAGATGTCCTAATACAATTGCAAGACCATCTCTGGTAATTAATGTCAAGTCTCTATAACTTTTTGCAGCACTCTGGGGATCTGTCAGAATGACTACCAACAACCCTAATGAAACTTCTTCGTGTGTTTTATCCTTACACACAGCATTGTTTAGCGTATCATGGGCTTCTTTTTCTGACAGTCCTGCAGTCAGGTTCTGAAGCACTGTATAACATCTTTCAAATTTCTGAAAAGGAAACAAATTTTATTAATGTCTTAGAATAAAAATTGTCAAGTTCTTACGCTAGAATCGAATGGTAGCAGTCGTTACTATATCATCGCTGCTAAATGAACCATTACTGATCATCAGTAAGTAAGACAAATTAATTTCATAATTATGCAAATGATTCGAATATTGCCGCTAAGACGCGTGGTTCGACGTGTGGCGCCGCGCGGTTAGCGACGTGCGCGACCATCGCAACAATGGCGGAACCCCTAGCACCCGATACGTATCCAGTGACTATTTCAAATATTTATGTTACCTCTTCCAAGTCGTCCTTATTCTCTATGCAACTCGTGCTAAGTAGCCGGGACGCGGGAGTTTTCGCCTGTTCCATTGCTGCTGGCTGGCCCGCGGCCGTCCCGTGAACGTTATTCCAGGCCCTGTCGAGCCCTCAGCCCTCAGCCCTGTGCCCCTGGCCGCTTGTGCTCGCCTCCGTGCATCGTGATCGTCTCACTGCCTGTTCGTTCTCTATCTCTTTTGCTCCCTCTCTCTTTCCCCACTCTTCGTCTCTCGCGCGGTCTCTTCACTCTGTTTATTCCTTACCACGGACCTCCCCGACTCCCTGAACTGTTCCGATGCGATTGCGCATTGATACATGCGCCTCGTCGCTTCTTGGCCTCACTTCGTGACGTGATCGCTCCCTACCACTTTTACCAATCACCAGTTCAACCAATCACTAGTCACCAACCCGTACACATTGATGGGCATTGGTGGGGATACCGTAGAAAAGTAGTGCGGCTTGCAGGAACGTATTTATTAAGGGTGCGCACCTAAAGGACGGTCACCTCAAAGTGTCTCTGAACCTTATTAGTGTACTTGCTGTGCCAAACTTCATGTAAAACGATTTAGTGTTCCCGCGTTCAAATGATTCCTTACAGTTGACATTATATCATTGTGCATATCTTTTAAATATGGTTAACTTCTTTCTACGTACGTATATGGAAATGATTATTTTACAGATACTTAAACAGGTGAAATATACAAATCTTAAGTAATATGTAAAATAGCTCTGAGTGTATATTATCCTGCATAGCATGCATAGATCACGGCATGACTCACTAATCTAAACGTACGTTATAACGTACAAAAAAATACCTTACACGTTAATTCATTGATTTCGTGGAATACCATAAATTCATGAAATCTAACAAACTGTTGCATGTATTTGAAAACTGCGAATAAGACTTGAAAAATAAAAATCGTGTAACGTTTTGAAACATTATTGCAATGCCAAACGCAAAGGAAACGTATGAACATACATATAGCAAGATTAGTTGCTATAAAACTGAAACCAATAATTGAAAATAAATTTGCTAGTAAGGAATAGAAGTGATACTAACGGGTCATCCGCATTTTAACTTTAAACTATTTTGAATATTATACAAATAATTCGATCTTTGTAACAAATAAAAACGATATAATTGTGAAAGTGATGTACTTGTAACATCTTACAGTCCTTGAAGAAATAAACATAAAATAGTTATTTGGAATTTTTTGAAAAATTATAAATATTGGAATATTGGGGTGCTTAAAATTCACTTCCTGGCTCATTAGATAGATACAAACCTGCAGCATAAACCACGCGTGCGCGTGTCACGTACGCACGGGGAGACCAGCTAACTAATCGCATCGGGGACCCCGGCCATGCTTCCCGCTTTTCGTATCCTCGTATTATTCTACGTCGTTTTTATGTTCCTTGCTGGATTTTTGCCATTTTGTGATTACGAATTTCGCATAAATGCTGTTGTTTTTGTATGATGATGTAATTATATATGTATCGCAATCATTTCATCGAATAGATTGTTGCTTTCGACCAATACATCCGTGTACGTCAACCTAACCCCTAATAAGTGCGGCGGCCACGGACCTGGCATTCCATTACGATGTATAAGGCTTTCTTCCAGGTATCCGTGGTGCAACTACCCCATTTTCCTTTCTCTTTTTTATTCTAGCACTTACTGTATAATCATTTTTATCTCCTATTATTTCTTACTTTCTACTTGTTGGTTAAGATACTAATCAGAAACGTCTTTAACTGGTTCGATTTTCTCACGGAAATGTTCATATTTCATAAGTATCACTCAAAGATCAAGAAACGTTTGTACCACTTGACTTTCGTTCTAGTTACGATTATTGTTTAAACATATGCTGATTCATGATGTTAGTTTAGGATACAAATCGACTACAATACTTCCGCATTTAATTTTTAAGCAATTTGTTATCTAATCACAGAATAAATTTTTACGGTGAATTATTATACGTTTAAAAAGAAAAAGCACATTGCTTTGTTATGTGCAATTACATATTATCTTAGCTAACTATAGTCGTATGTATAGTTTAATTTTGTTTCATAATAAACTAATTCTAAAACTGTACAATAATATAGTTAAGTGAAATAAATAAGTAGCAGAATGGAGAATTAATTTGCGTTGAAAACCAGACAAATTTTTCACTTTGCATTGATTTCTAACGCACAGATGCGAACTGTTCGAAGGCTTGGAGAGAAATGACCAGTCTGTGTGTTCTACAATGCTTACCTACGTAAACGTCAATGAACGCATGCGCATAATACAGTACTGTGAATAGTCTCACATCAGGATTGTATAAGATGGAGACAGAAAAGAGAAGATTGAATATGCCCAAAAATGTAGTAAAAATTAAGTTTTTAGTCTAGCTAATCAAATTTATTATAGACTATGATCGTTTAAGTTGTAAATAATTTGATCGTTCATGTGCTATGAAAAGTCAAGAAAAATGGATTAAGTATTTAAAAAAAAAAATGAAAGAATATAATTCTAGAACATACCTATTGATTTTTTTAATATCCTGTGAATATCTGTTTGGTTTTTAAAATTGTTTTAACGCAAATATATGTACTTTGTAACTAATAAAAGATTGGATCTATTCTGTTAATTTTCTTGCGCTGATCTATCGCGCCGTTAGATTACTTCTTACAATCGCACATGAATGTACACAACTAATATGCGTTAACGAAAAGATGACGTGTGCTACTAGTTTGGGATTTAATGTTTAATGGAAGCGTTCTATATGTTCCTTTTTTATTAGTTAATTAATTGAGGCCATCAACTACACTATCATAAATAGTTCTAAAGACTATGTATTTATGGAGTAACAGCTTGTTCATTTGAATTTATACTGTACGAGCTCTCAGTGATCTACAGATAACTGAGTCTCGAACACCTGGCGCATTGCCATTGCGGATGAGAAAAAAATGTGTTATCGTTAACATTTTCCATTAAAGCGGATATTATCGTTTTTCTATTTTCTTTCTTATAAAACCATTTTAAACTATCAAATTTTAATTAGCTATATAATAATAATATTAACAAAACCGACTTGAAGAGATTCGATCATGCATGTACTACGATACTGATTCAATTACCTCAGTATTGATATGATAAGTCGTTGTACGAGTTATAAATGGATGAGTTTAATATATCGATGTTTCTCGGGCTGAATGTAATATACCGCGGTTGCACGAAAAATGTTCATTAATATGTACATATAAAAAGTTCATAAAGAAAAATAAATTCATACACGTGTTTTATAGCGTCATCATTTTTAAGTGTGCTATTTCCTGAAAGCGTATTACGAACAAATCAAAATTACTGACGTTAATCTTTGAGATCATTAATTATAGCATTATGAAACATCTCTAGCATAATATAATGACGACGATTTAGCTTTAACTAGCTAAATAGTTACACTAGTAACAGAGCAAGAAGGGTAAATATAGTTTAGAAGAAGAAGTGAACTTCAGAAATGTAAAAGTTTTCCATTGTGTATTAAGTCATATACATTCATGCTTCAAGCATAATGTATAGTACATACACTGTACTATATACATATATTATAAACTTTGAAATTCAAATAACATGCTTCATTGTACACATATTCAGACATTCTGTCTTGTCATTGTTTAATATGGTACTTGACAATAGATTGAAAGCATTTTATTGATTATGTTTAGAAGGTAGAATTCACTTATATTTATTGTATTGAAGAAGTGCAAGAGATTAAGAGGTGTAAATAATTTCTCTCATTTTGATTGTAAGAACAATTGGTATATAGGCTATAAGAACAATTTTTAAAGTACTTGATCCAACAATACAATTGTGTAAAAAGTGTAAATGGCATATAATTTCTGCTACCTTTTCTAAGAACTGAAACCTCTTATATGATTGAATGTTGATACAATTCATATAACAATGAATTTTTTTGTTTAATTTTAAATTTAAAAGTATTTGTACCACATAACTTACCAATAATTATAGTTTCATTGCAGCCTTATCTTCCGTGATATATTTGAAACAATTTTAAGTACAATCATATTTGGAATAAATAAATTATTAAACAGCAAACACATCAAATATGAATGTTCCAACATAAAATACAAACTTTTTTCTTTTCAATAATAACTGAATTTCGAAATGTAATCAACAGTATGTATATATTTTTCTACCAATGTAACAGTATTGATCATAAATATTCGAAGTTTTCCTGAGATGCTAAAAAGTGTATGGATTTAAAATATAAAATTTACATAAAAACTCATGTACGTCGTTAGTATCAAAACACATTATGATTTTCCTTTTTTAAATCTTTGTCTCGCTTGCGCTTTGCTATATTTCGGGTGTTTCTCTTTTTCATTATTCATTTCAGCTTCAATATCATCAAGCTCTTCTTTATCATTACCAAAAAGATCCACTGGTGGTTCTAAAAGCGACTTTCTTTGACGTTTTACGAAATAACGAAATCCCTTTGCAATGCCAAAACCTAGCATTGCTATGGACATTGTCAATAAGACCATCAAAAGAGGATGCTATATTTAATAACAAAAAAAAGAAATAGAATTATTATAAAAATTTGTTTAGACATCCTATTTTTAAAACTTAAACACATGTACCGTTAATGTAGGTTTGTTTGTAAAAACATAATCAGCAATTACAACTATAACTCCAAGTATGATACCAACACCAGCTCCAAGCCAGGGTATTTGTTGATCAGCTATAAAATAGTTTATCATCAAAATTTGATAAACATTTTTGCTGTACTTTTCATATTATAGGAATTGTACCTCTTTTATCTTGAATCAATAATTTGGCTACTCTATGCATTGCTTCTAAAATAGTTGGTTCATTTGGTTGAAGCGATAAAGCTTTGCAGTAAGATTGAAGAGCTTCGCTAAAGTGAAAAGTTTGTGATTCTACTTCAGCCTTCCTAAAATAACCCTACAAACAATTTAATATACTAGAATTTAATTAAACATTATTTATCCACATGTTATCTATGATTACTCTTACGAGTAAAACTGTGATTAACATATATATATATATATATATACCTTGGTCCAATCTGGTTTTAATTGAATTGTCATTAGAGCATCTTCCATAGCAAAATGATATTGATGCATTTTTAAAAAGGCAAATGATCTATTACTGTACAAAGAATAATTTTGTGGATCAAGTTTAATAGCATGCGTGTAATGAAACATAGCCTCTTCATACTTCTGTTCTTTCACACACGTATTTCCACGCTCCTTAAGACTTTGAACCTTCAATATAATGATAAAAATATACGTAATAAAAGACATTAAATTGTTCGTTGAAAATTCTTTAAAGTTAATCGCATCAATATTGATATTAATCGTTAATATGTATTAAAGTTGTTGCAACAACTTCACCTCTAGGTTTCTAAATATAAGTTCTCTCATATAATTCAGAAATATATATGAACATTAATTAAAAGTCGTACATATTAGAAAAGTCGTAGATTCGAAATGTACAAATGCTTACCTCTGCTTCTCGTGGATTCGACATGGTTTACAAAGGCTCCCGTAAGTGGGTTACATAAAGTAAGTTTCACAAATTGTTATCTAAGCTACACGTTATCATTGTCCTTCAGACAGTTTCTAGGCAACGTTTTTTTATTTATTAAAAATAGTCAACAATAAGAAGTAACCGAAACACCTGCCATGTCTCTCTGACCGGTAAGTACATGCGCAACGGACATTGACATGTGGTACTGCACTGCGCAGTCTTCCGCCCGTCGTCAGCTGTAGTAGCGCGCTGAAAGAACAAGAGCAAGCATCGACCGTTCTCTTTTTAATTCACGACGATGTTCTATTGGATACTACAGTGGTAGTGTTGAAAAGATGCTTGCATAAAAATGGGACACAGTCTTTAAGAAACGGGTAGAATCTAACCAATAATCCTTCCAATCTTTCTTATCAGACTATGCTTACAATGTGTCTTGATTAATCAACGATTTAAACTTGCAAGATAAGTTTATTTAATACGACAAGAACACTCGACGAAAATACAAAAAAAAAAAAGATCCGAGACTTTTTTCTCATCATTTTTAATGTTTGAAATTCTCCATTTCATACAAATTAAGTGGGGAGCATTATAATACAAACTTAAAATATATACATCGATATTTCGTGAAACTTCTCAAATAACTATATAACTCATCCATTAATCCGTAATCTATAGATCTCTTTCCGTCATTATTGATTTTTTTTTCTTTTTTTGTCGCTTGAACCTACTGTTTCGTGTGTGTACATACTGTGTGCAACGAAACCTGGCAAGTCGTTCGAATAAATATCATTTTATAATTTAACCACTGCCAGAATTAATCACGGCCGATCCTGTCGTGTGTGTGTGTGTGTATGTTTTGTTGTATATTTAAATAAAAGCGTCCATTGGTATGGAGAATCGGATTCGAGTTTGTTTTTTTTAGTCCGTTTGACGAATTGGGATGAGAGGTGCGACATTACCGACGAAAACACCTTTTATTATCCCGATTATCGACGAAACGATAGGCACTAATAGCGAGTGTCGAAATTACTTTATCAGGATCGATCGTACGAGCAACGATCTTCAACCCCAAAAAGTATCATCCAAATAGACTCGCGACTTTATATATTCTTTTTTTCTTTCAGCTGACTAAAATGCTCGTTCCCTTCCTATTGTCGTTATTCGTTAATACACGACGAGGAATAAAGTTTCTTATAGCGAAAATAACGGATGTTGAACGCATTCGCTACTAATACCCATTTCTCTAGCACAATCACGAAAAAAAGAAAGAATCGATACAACGGACAGGTTAAGAATCCTTACGATTATTGGAGGACAAATGGCAAACATTTGCATTCTCGCCAAGTTGCTGTGCATTTATTTATTGCCCAAGTGGGACGGAAGTCACGGATGATTTGGCACTCCTGTTTCATTCTCTAACGCCTTATTTACCTACATGTTCATTTTTCTTCTACTTCTTCTTGCGCGCTTTCTATCAGTTTCACTTTTCGATATATTGCATAATTCATAACCCTTTCAAATACGTTTTTTATGATATTCTACAGAACATTACAATTTCAAAAGCAAAGTTATTTAAATCTTCAAAAATGCGTCGAATTGAAATTCTTAGTACAATGATGTACTCGCAGAATACAGTGAAGTAGAATGAAAGAGAACAGTCAGGAAAGAAAGGCTTTATCCTCACAGGGACGAAAATTCGTATTTCGCGCGACTGCGCGCGATTCGATTGAGATTATCGATTCTCGATCGGTCCGATTCTCCATTGAAATGGGCCCGCCATGTTACGTGTACACGTTCTTTCTTTACTTTTTTTTGTTATTTTTTTTGTTATGCACAACCCACATCAGTATTGTTACTCATTACTGGAAACTGTAAATGTAAATTGATTCTTTTTTTTAATTATCCACGCTTAAAATACATTTTATACATACTCCCACCATACTCTCGCGCTATAGTCGTTACCATAAATCGTCGTCGTATCAATAATCATCAAGCAATAGTCGTCGTCGTGATCATCATCGAAAAGAAAGAAAAAAAAAAGAAAAAAGAAAAAAAGAAAAAAAAAAGAAAACACAATATATCGTATATGCAATATCGTAGGTCGTTCGCCGTTAAATCTTACTAAAGAGAACGCCGTCCATCAATCTTCGTCATCGTAATTTTTTTTTTTCTCGTTTTGTGTGGCGTATTTTTTTCTCTCTCCATTTCTCACATCGCTCTCGATACTCCTACGTTTTCTTAACACGCACGGTTACATTTTTCTTTTCCTCATCGTCCCTCGAATAAGACATAAAGCACGCGGGGGAAACGGCCGGAAGTACGCGTGAAACAGAATCGTAACAGGAAGCGGAGGAAGTTGTTTCGCGCAATAGCGTCTCGGTTCTCATCGTGTGTGCGTCTCTCTTGCCGATAACACAACGAACCAAGAGTGTCCACCTTGGAAAAAGGGATCTCTCTTTCTCTCCTTTGATCCGGTACACCGGATCCCTTCTTTTTTTTTTTCTCTGTATGCTTCGTCAACGACACGTGACGTCGTATCAGGCACGTTTTGATCATCCTCGACACGCGAGAGATCACTTTCCTTACATTAAACATCGCGAACATCTTTCACAAAGAATGTCCATGGACAAACAATTTCTGGACGTTAATCGTGACCAACGCGTACTTGTTGTTTCGTCGATATTAATGGCTTAATTAGTTCGATAACGATCGAAGAGTATGCCTCAGCATCGCGATCAAAGTGATTTCAATGGAATGCATTTTGTCTCGCGTTTCTGAGCGAAATGATCGATCAACCCTTTTCGAGGGTTTGATAATTAAATTCGTATCGATCGACGTGTTAAATATAAATTACCATAACTTTCAAGATGCTTACAATTTCGAGCTACGATTTTTCACGATTACAGTCAAAATAGTTATTTATTGTACCATGATAGTTGGATTTCGTTGTGATCACCTTGGAAAATATAAATTTATAAGCTAGAATCAACGTCGGATCGAAAGGTTTGGAAGAACTTACACTGATCAAAGGAATTAGGGGATCGATAAATCGTTAATAAAAATTTGATATATGGACATTGTACCGAATCAGATTTAGAGAAAATCCTTAAAGTATTAGATATTGGATATAGATCCGCTAACAAGTTTGAGCAGTGTACCTTGAACAATTACGATAACGTGTTACGAATCGTTATCAAGATAATATGTATCTTCTACGCTCGTATAGGCAATAGGCACACGAAATATTATCCAGGCGTTTTTAATGTTTGATTAGAACACCTTCTTGCACTATACGAATGATATGATTGCATAACAACTATTCGATTTACATGTTTGTCTTTACTTACGTAACACAAACATTCGCTTATAAATGGTCCAGATAACAGATAAACTCGTTTTATCGTTTCTTATGTACGCGAACCGATGTTCGACGATTTTTCGAACCGATTAGTTAGAAATGTTTGACGCGATACCGAGCACGATACATCATCTACAATACGATCGATAGATTTCTCGATCGAATTGCCGATACCCACATTAACAACAGGTTTCATGCGGTCGACGATGTATTGGACGAAAAAACTTTTAATTTTCTTCTAAAACGATCGTTCGCACGATTCCTTTTCCTATATATCTTTTATTTACTTATCCTTTTTTAATTGAAAGATGCAATTTTTCAAAGCAGACTTAAATTGCGCTCGGGTAAGGATCGATCCCGAGGCCGCAATATTGCACGTCCCAGTCTAAAATCGAGCATAAACGCAATCGAAAGGATTAACATACATAATAACATTAATAATAATAATGGTAATCGTAATAGCGATAATAATAGTAATAATTAGCGGAAGAAGAGGTTGGGATTCTGGGCAGGGGGAAGAAAAAGGAAGCGAAATGGAATCAACAGAGAAAGAAAAAAAATAGGTCCGGTTCCTTTCCCTAGTGTATCTCACGGTGTTTTGAATCGGCGAGAGAGATACATAGGTAAATCTTCTTTCAATTTAATGAAATCGTTTCCTCCATTGTCGATAATGTTCCACGCGCTCGTTCGTCACGCTTCATTCTCGCCAACAATAATTATTTAAATTCCTCTCTCTCTCTCTCTCTCGCTCTCTCTCCACATTTTTCCATTTGTATACATATATACTTTTTTTTGTTTTAATTAGTGAATATAATATTTATATATTTATATATATATATATATATGCATAGGTAATAATTGCAAATACAACTATGTAATGAACATACGAGCCTTTGTCAGGGGGAGCAATGCAGTCGTCGTCAATAAAAAGAGTCACGGGTTACATTATACACCTATACAACAGGACGAAACCCTCCCGTGGGATCGTCCTAACCGCCCTGTCTGTAATTCTTGTAAGTATATAACTATCTCCTTCTCGTTCGTTCGTTCGGTCGGGTCTCCGCAGCGTGAACCGAAGGGAAGAAAGAAAGAAAGGGAAGAAAAACAAAAAGAAAGAGAAGGGAAAAGGGAAAACAACACGTTTCGTTCCTTTCCTAAGTCGTTGTTCTCTTCCCTGTTCCTCTTTTCCAGAGGGAACGCGGAAAGGGAGAACCCTCGTTCGGATTTCGAAAGGGCAGTACGTTCCCCAAGAAGTACAAGGAAGCTCCCTAACGCTTCTATCTCTTTTGTTTCGCGTTAAGTCACGATTAAATCAATTCAGTCGTTCGAGTGTGTATAGATCATACGCACTTAAGGCTCGATCCATATTAGTAGCTTCAATTTTCGATTTCGTTTCGATCAAATATTATTCCATCATTTTTTTTTACTCACATACGAAAGTAATTTATTTTCACTCAAATTTTCTACTAAATTGGGGCACCAAAGGGTTCATGGTGTAATATTTGCTCGAACGAATTCGCGAGGGGATGAAGAGCGTGGATCGATCCTAACACATTATTTTCAATTATTTCATTTACCGTGCAAATTACCCTCGGTCCCTAATGAACGTGTTGAGCGCTTAACATTTCTCGATAGTACGCAGCATTTCTTACGGATAGTACGCGTCGTTTCCTCGCCAATGAAATCGACCAGATCGATTTCCTATTTATTTATTTCCTTTTTTTTTTTGCATTTTTTCTCATTTTTGGCATTTTACGACCTCTAACCTTTAATCTGATATGAGTGATAGAAACCATGTTTCTTCGTTCTTCTTCGTCCTCCTCATCTTCACCGTGTTCGAAGGCTACACGATAGCGTGATCTCACCTCGTTACATATTTCTCTCTCTCTCTCTTTCTCTCTTTCGCGTGTTTCTTTTCGCGAGCACCTTAGGATCGCGATCCCGATGAACATTCGGGAGATATTTCTGCGATCGAGCCTTCCTCGACGGATAAGAAGTGATAAAAAAGATCGAGGAGCGTGCATTGCGAATATGAATTTGTTCTAAGATCCTTATCAGCGATATCTTGATTACTAATAATACCCTTTGCTTAAACAAACACGTTAGCTCGATCTTTCCTATCCGGTCGTCTTGAAAAAAAAAAAAAACTTACGGCTCGAGCAAAGTTTCAACTCGCTCAGCTTACGTACACTCGTACGTGTCTATCTCTAAAGGCTATTCGTGTACTGTACAATGATGTCACATACTTATATTCGTCGAGATTAATGAACGTTATGTACAGAGAGAAAAAAAAAAAGACATCACGATCTGTTCGCGACGCAACCACTTGAATATTAAACGCCTTCTCCTCCGCTCGACACACGTAACTCGACTCTCGAATTCTACGACCATTATGCAACCTAGTTGCACGCTTATAGAATCGATTCATACTCATTTCGAAAGGTCGACTCGTCTAATGCGTAGATACGCAATTAATCGAACGTTAGACGTTAACGTTGCCGAGAATCTTCGGCTAACGTTTTCACCCTTCGTTTGAATAGGAATGGTTGCGAAATAAGTACACCCGAGGGTAACGTAAGCTTCTTTCGGTTAAGGGTATTAGAGCTACGGTTTACCTGAGGAGTAACTGTAGTCCTGGCACGTAAAGAAGATGGACAAATAAGGCGAATGGTGGGTCAGTCCTACCCTTACACTTCCCTTTTCAACTAAGGAAAGTGATAAAAGGATCTTGAAAAATGTACACTTGGGTGCGACAGAAACTTTTTGAACAAAGACTTTGGCTTTTAGGAGAACCTAGGGAAAATTTAACGTTGACCTTGCTGCCCTTAATCAAGGGAAGCTCAAGTTACACGCGATTGTACAGGTGTACGATTCGAAAGGCAACCAGAATTCGTTTCGCATAGTTGTCGGAGAGAAACTTGACAGCCCGGTTCACCGTGTGAAATCAAGCACAACAAAGAGCGACGGAATCAACGAAAGGAGAAAAAGGCGATAATTAACGGTGCGCCATTCACCAACGGGACCAATGATGGTCCGGCGTCGGTGAGAAATTTCGCTAAACCGTCCAACGAAATCTGCACGCAACCTACGTATTACAAAGTCTCTAGCATCACAGTCTGAAAATATAGTACTGCCGTTTTTACATGGCTAACTCGCTAGTCGATTAGGATCTAATAAGGACGTTAGCGGGAAAGAAAAATGATAATAACAATACTAGCAACAATCTCGGGCCACGAATCCCCACCTACTTCCTCTCCTACACCCGTCATTTCTTTCATTTTTTTGATCACCAACGACGACAGAACGAATCTACATTCGAGGCACTCGTTTAAAATACTCGCATTGTTAGGTAAGATATAGAGAATCTGCGCGCGACTCTGTTCGAGGATTCGAAATTTGAATTCAATGAGACTTTCAAGCGATTTAAATGGCTACATTCCTGACGCTTCGCGTGAAAAAGAAACAGCTCGATCGGAAATCTCTTCTTCCTTTGAAAGAATTCCTTTAAATTTAAGACCCACTGTACGTTTCAAATTAGGTATTTAATACCGTTGATGAACGAACGGAAACGATAGCTTCTCTAATTAAAAAATAAGTAATCCAGTCCGGCTAATTGCTTCCGGAAATTGAAGATAAAGCTTGCCACAAGATTCCAACGCAGAGAAATACCGATATACGTATCCGAACGTGCTTGGTTTTATCAAAACAGGTGTACAGTAAGAACGACGACTAAGTGAATCGCGTGTAATTGGAAACCGGAACTTGCGCGTACAGATAACCGCATTTTTCACGTTTTCTCCTGGACTCGCGATTCGTAACGGATCAGACAGAAAACAGAGTTTCGAATCGAGTTTACGCCGATATACCCAAAATCATTCGAGTTTCGTAACAACGTCAGGATAACACGTAGAAAATGGTAAACAGTGGTGAAACTTTCGTTTCGTTTCACAATCAACGAATTTAACGAGTGTCACCTGTTC